CCTCCATGTAATAGTCTCCTCCACTGACACTGAGTGTTTCCAGCCAGCCAGTCAGATTGAAGCTGCCCCTGAGCATGTGCTGTGCTAGTCCTAATCCCACATCCTCATTGACTGCAGTGGCTCCTGCCCGGGTAACAGAACTCTTCCTGCTTGTTTTTCTCCTCTTTGATTGGTGGTGTGTGTTTGGCGCTCGCTTTGGTTTTGTGAATCCATGTGTGGTGTGCACGCGGTCTTGCACTGTTTCCACTTTACCCCGTTCTGTAGGACTGCCCCACCGAACACCTGATCTATAGACTGCACTCACTGAGAATTGTTCTTGGGCAGAACAATGCGATGTTGTAGTGAGGGCCCTGGACTCGTAACTGAAGCTTTATGGGTTCAAATCCTACTTGGGGGCACAGCTGTTGTGCCCTTAAGCAGGGCACCTCACTCTAATTGCTCACGGTAAATACCCAGCTGTGTAAATCAGTACAGATTTAAATCGCACTGAAGAATAAATGAGATGTGAATACACTGTAGGGAGGAATCAGGTACTGTAAACGGGGGGCGCTGAGCGTGCTGTCTGTGAGCTGTGTGCATGTCCTCTCCATCTTGTCTCTGTCGTCGTGCAGACCAGTGCCGCTCCTGTGCTGCACTTGACACAGTCCTCTCCTGTCTGTTTGCAGTGGACGGCAAGCCCCGAAGACAGAGCCTGCTCTACTGAGACAGGGGGGAGAACCGTGAAGACAAGGGGAGAACCAGGGAGAGACGCCCTGTTCGTCTTCTGGGGATACATCACATTCACATCGGATACTTTCATTGTTTGTTTTTTTTTTCAAGAAGCGTTGTGGTGCTTTTTGGGGGTGCCCAGACTGACATGTGGGGTGGTTTCGGTGGGGGCAGTTGGCTCATCCCATGTGTCCTTTGAGGTGAGGTTGAGAGATGTGAAGGGGAGTTTGGGGGACAGACGCCACTCTCCCTCTAAATGCTCACTTCTTTCCTCACTCTCTCCTGTCTTCCTATACTCCCCCTGTGTCTCCTGCAGAAAGACTGGGGCTGTCTCTCCAATTTGACCTGACTCTCCTCCCTGAGCACCTTCTCCCAGGGATTTTGGAAAGGAGCAGGGGTGTAATCCCAGTGTCCTGGCCAAATTTCCCATTGGCCTTTGCCAACCATGGCCTCCTAATAACCCCCATCTCTGAACTGGCTTCATCACTCTGTTCTCCCCCCCCCTCCGAGAGCTGGTGTGTGGGGAGCCCACTGGCAGATTCTCCATTTGGGGGCTGCACATTGGTGGCGGTAGTAGGATTCCTCATTACCTGTAAAGCGCTTTGAGTGGAGTGTCCAGAAAGGCACTATATAAGTGTAAAGATGTGGGGCCCCCCCAGCAGCTTGTGAAGCAGACAGTAGCCGTCATGTGTCTGACGTGGTGTGGAACCCCATCACTGTGGGGCTCAGTCCAGTGGGGTGCCAGGGTCATGCACTAGTAGTGAACTGCAGGGAACAGATGCCAGTGGGGTTTTGACACAGTCCTGGGTGTTGCACCTTCATGACTGTGGGGGCACCTCTGAGGGGAGGCGTGCAGGGTCCACCTGGGACACAGTGCCCCTGATCTTATCCACAGCGGAAACAGTGGGAGACTCCCAACAACATGATGTGAAGATCCGAGAATATAATTTTTTATGTTCTTCTCATTAGAAGACTTCTGATGAGGAGTGTTGTACTTTCATGTCTGGTTGTATGTTTTAAAGAAAAAAAAAAGTTAATTTGATGCCATTGCAACAGGATTTTTGTTTCTCTCTTGGCAGTGATGATGGCATTTCTGTTTGATGTTTTAAAGGATGGTACTGAGCTCTGGGGGGGGGCTGCTCTGTGATTATGGGGGTGTCTGGAGGGGCTTAGCCTTAGGGAGAATTGAGGGAGGGGGTTTGTCTTTCTCTCAGTGCACATTGGGGCTCCCCTGCCTCTTTACACACCCCAGACCATCTCGGTGTATCATTGAAACTCCAGTCAAGCCACACTACTGGAGCCCTGCCCTTTTAAAATGAGCGTCTCTGAGGTGAGGGAGTGTATGCAGCACCAGTAAGCAGGGAATGGAGCTGACCTGCACTTGTCAGGATTCGTTTGGCACTCAAGGCCTCCCCAGGGCACAGACGTTCAGGATAGTCAGTGGTGTTTCCTGCTGTATGTTAGCCCTTGCATTGCTTGTTCAGTGTGTGGAAGACGGGCTGTGTCCGGCTCTGGGCTCTGCCTCAGGCGGGCCTGAAGTGGACAGGGCTCAGCAGTAGCTCAGATGGTCTGCTCCATCGTCACGTCATGCCTGTTGTATTTGGGCCAGACTGTGGAGTTCCCCGTCTGCCTTCTTTGAAGCAATATAACCGTCAATGGCCAAAGTAATGTGTCTGTGAAACTGATCTTTTTTTCATCCAGAGTTTTCAGACTGGTTCTCATTTCGTTTTCATCGCGTGTCCGAGTGTAGAAATGGGGAGATCAATCAGGGAGATGAGACACTACAAACACTGTATCACGAGCTGCAGTTGCTCCTGACCTTGCCTGCCAGTGGCCCCTGTGTTGTGCTGTTGTATCCGAGTATTGACCTGTGTGGTATTGTGTGCTGATGGCTGCAGCACAGGAGAAGGCAGATGCTGACGTGCTGTAGCCCTTTCGGTTGACTTTTAACCCCTCTCTGTGTCCGGGTGGAATTCCTGGCTTATCCTGTGGTGAGAGGTTCGGCAGGGGTACAAGTAAACGTGCACACTGGTGAGCGCAGGTGGGGACAGACAGACTGGACCTCTCCCTCTGGCCCTGCAGGGTGCAGATACTCCCACAGTCAGCCCTGCTGGTAGAAGCCCTAAAGAGAATTGCTCATACTGTGACTCTTTCGAGCCCGCATGACTTCCTTATCCACCATTAGTGTGACTCCTGCAATCATCGTTTCGATTGTTTTTCTCCGATTCCCTTTTTCATGCCAGCCGGACCTACAGGTAGTTTAAAAATCGCCGATGGGGGGGCAGGTTGTTGAAAAGATTGAGGAAGAGGGGGGCAGCAGAGTGACCAAGGACACAGCTTGGAAGAGCGAAGGCAGGCAGGCTCCACTGTACGTCTTCCTGAAAGAGGGAGGGGTGAGGGATGTGCAGCCTCAGCACTGCTGAGCAAAGGACAGAGTGGCTTCTCTTTCTTCCTGAGGGACGGCTTTTCACACGCAGGTGTCTTGGACATGAGAACATGAGACAACTCTTTGTGTAAATGCTGTCCTGATTAGCAGATCTCATCTAGTCGTTTCCTGGAAGAAGCCAGGTTATCAGGTTCAGCAACATGGCTGGGCGGCTTGTTCCACACTCCTACAGCCCCCAGATGTGTGATGTGTGCCTGTTTGTTTTTTTTTTTCCTCTCTCTTTCAATGCAGACAATCCTGAGCTGTGATGGGTTTGTAGAGTTAGAATCAGGTCACTGTCCTCCTGGCTGGGTCAGCACCTGTGTCCACTTCTGTTTACAAAAAGAAGATGACACCGGGAAACTCTGAAGTCTATTGTGAAGTGTCCCAATCTTCTTGTGCTGCTGCTGCGTAGGCCGAAGATGTAATTGTGTCGGCAGCAGGGGATCATGTGCTTCTCCTGTCCGGCGGGATATTTCCACATCTCGTCACTGAGGCCGGAGACGCAGCACAGCCAGAGCTGCAGGCCCAGATCGTTGCGGTCCTCGCTGTCCTCTCCGCACCAGATCTGTTCCACGGTGTTGAGTGTGTGCGGCCCTGGCCCTGGCACTTCTGCCCCTCCCAGTGGTGTCTCCTGTAGGAGCTGAATATGGGGAACTTTTCACAGTATTTCTGCCTGGGCCTGGTCCTTCATGCTGGCCACCTGTAATTGCTTTTTAGTAGTCTGATTTGCTCTGTACTACATTTTACTGTGTTTTTACTACAGTAAAACCACAAGATGCTGTGATGAGTGTGACTCTGTTCAGCCAGTAATGGATTCAGATGGGCGATACTGCAGTTTCTCGTCCTGGCCACTTGGTGTCGCTGTTGAGGGTGCTGTAACAGCCTTGCATATGTCTGTGACGGCATGACTCTAGGATTTTGTTTTTCCAAGGCCAGTTATTCCCACAGTAATCGGGGGGTGAATAACTTTCCCCTATACCCCAAAGGGTTGGGGACCACTGGGCCAGACAACACTGCTCAGTATGTACTAGGGGGACCTGTCAGGGCATGCTGAACATGCTTCAGTTCACTGAGCAGTCTGAATACCCCAAAAGCTCT